AACCGAACTCACGACCTTGCGCTTGCCAGGCAGGCGCTTTTGCTGCTGAGCTAAATCCCCAGCCCCTGGATACTATATTATTTTATACATATAACAATTTATTTTCTTATTGCTAAGTATTTAGACTATCTCCAACTTTATGAGAATGCTAATAAATACCCTTTAACACAGGAATGTATATATGTAACATATTTATATAAATATTATCAACATGCTATACTGCCTTAATGTTCATGTTATCTACAGTAAGTATACACACTCACCTATTTAAGGTTACAGGTGAGATATAGTAAATGTCTTTAATACCTACACGCATGTGTGTGCTTATGAGTCATGTATTCCTCTCCCAGAAGGATTCAGTTTCAGAAGAGAAGGTGTTAAGATAAAGAGAATGATATATTTGAAATTTTATTCATGTTACTAAATTACTTTCCAAAACTATTTAATAATTTCATTTACTGACAGGGTATGACAAGGTCTGTTTCCTCAGACTGGTAAATTCTTATTAACTAGATTACTCTCAAAAACTATTTAAGGGGCCGAGGATATAGCACAGTGGCACAAGCACCTGCCTGGCAAGTGCAAGGTCCTGAGTTCTATTACTTGTACAAAAAAAACCAAACCAATTAATAATTTCATTTACTAACAGTGCAGGACAACGTCTGTTTCCTCAGACTGGTCAATTCTTATTATTTTTTAAATAAAATATTTCTCTTATGTCTTTTTGTTACTTTGTTCTTTCCTCTTTAAAATTTAAAAAGAAAATAAATAAGTAAAATATTTCTCAATATAATTGGAAAAAATGCTATCTAACATTGTCTGTATTTTCTGACAGGCATACAAAGCTGAGTATCTCTAGTAAAAGCATGTAACTTTTTAACCACAAATACTGGCTCAAATTAAAATTAGTTTTACAGAACAGTAACAACTACTTATAATCCAGTATTTCCATAGTCTTACCTATCGTGTTCTTCATTCTTCTTAACAGGAAATCGCTGACTAACAGCTTCCCCATTCTTTCTTTGTTGCATTAACCCATCACTGTCGTTATCAGCATTGGCAACAGTGGCATCATACTGGTTTTCTGATACTTCCATTTCATTACTCATTTGCTTCCTTTTTTCTTCAACCTGGTCTTGGTTATTTTCCCAGCCATCAAGTCTTTTCTGCTCTTCCTTTGATGTCACTTGTAGATCTGGTTCTTCTATTAAGGTTGTCTTCCCAAATTCTGTGGATGGTGACAGACTTTTAATCACTGATTATGTTACAAGTGGATATTTATCATCAACTTTCAAATTCCCCAATCTCTGAAAAGTCTTATTAGTGAAGGCAAAACTAGTAGTAGTCCAATCTGAATTTGAAAACAAAGTTTTATATATTAAGATGTAAATGATAATACAAATGCAACTAATTTGTGCATATTCTTTTTGGTACCAGGTATCAAACTCAGAACCTTGTGCTTGCCAGGCAGGCACTTGTGTCACTGAGGTATATCCCTGGCCCCAATATTTACTATTTGGACCTTTGCAGAAAAAAAAGCCAATTCCTGGTTTAGTATATTCTTTCCTCAGAAGCAGTCTCACGTGTTTCTCTGCCCTACAACACAATACTGCCTAGGGTTTACCGTACTTTATATGTTTTGTACTTGCCACTCACTCAAGTGAGCTTGCTTATCATCATCATCTCTCATTCTTCTGTTTTTATTTGTTAGTATTATTCTGATTTACCCAGCAATCTCTTTTACATACTTCGTTTTCCAGTATTGTTTACTATTAAGTCTTTAAGGATATGAATTTTATTTCTCTGGTATGAGATACCGAATGTGTAAATAAGGAGCAAAGTGTATAAAAGGTATTGTGAAATAGGAAGAAACTGTTCAAAAGAAGAGAAACTAGGGGCTGGGGATTTAGCTCAGCGGCAAAAGCACCTGCCTGGCAAGCGCAAGATCGTGAGTTCGGTTCCCGGTACCGGAGAAAAACCAAAAACCAAAAAAAACAAAAAGAAGAGAAACTAGGGAGAGGGTGGGGGGAAAGGAAGGAAGGAGAAAAAAAAAGAACCTATACTCTGAAATGAAATCAACCAGGCACACATGTTTAGATATTACATTGTTTCTCTAGTGGGAGAAACTGAAAGGGTAAATAAGGACCAAAATGTGTAACAAATACTGGGAAATAGGGGCAACATATTCACATGGGAAAGGGAACAAGGAATGGGGAGTAAGGAAGGGAAAAGAAAAAAGAACAGATGGAAGAAAATGGAAACAAAGCTTTTGTAAATGAGAAGAGGGGTTGAAAGGAGAAGAGGGGATTGCGGAAAAAAGAAGAATCAAGAAACATTGTGCACAGGTACAAACTTCCTCTAATGAATGTGATAATTTTGTACATCTAAAATGTACCAATAAAATTGATTTTAAAAAAATTATCTAACTATATTAATGTAAATATACACAATATTCTCTGTGCATTCTAAAGACATGGACTTTAATGAATATACTACTTTAAATTAAAACATCTACAATAAGATATTCTTTCTTCAATATCCCAATACTTTTAGAATTTACTTTTTAAGGCTTGGATAACACCATAAATTTATATGCAAATTGGTAGCTTTAAGTGACCTAATTGTTCCCATGTAAAAACTGGGTTAGTCTAGGTCAGTAGTGGTGAACCTTTGGCATGCATGCACAGTGGGCTATCTGTTACCACTGAAAGGTTTAAAAGGTTCACCATCACTAGTCTAGATACACAATACATCCAAAGAGTGCAGAGTACCAGGAGATAGGAAATGAAAATGCAACAAAAATGTATCTTTTCTTCTTTATAAACAAAATTGTCAGCTTTACACTTTTTAAGACAAGTGAAAGGAAAAGGAAATATAGAGGCTAAAAGTCAGTTCATTGTGAAGAATTCCTTTATGATGTTGCTTTCATGAACCTTTTACATTTTTTAAGTAGTAGTTTAATAGTGAGTTAGAATCTCTGGAGTTTAAGATCCATTTATGGGATCTAAGAGGACAAATAATACCAAATGTTATTTGCCATTTCATGCGCACCCTTTCTTGTAAGGGCATAACACAGTGAGTGGGATTTTCAAGATGTAGTATGTCACATATCATGGTTCTAATGATTAATGAGTTATGGCTCTAATGTGTATTAGAATATGCGACTGAATGCTTGTATTTTACTTCTTTCAGATTTAATTTCTAGTAGAGTGTCAACAGACCCAATATACTTAAACAAAAACTCTGCAGAATCTGTACTTGTTTTTAATACTATGAAAGGACTTAAGGCCAAAGTTTCAGAATCACTGTTTTGAAGGTCTGTCTACTAGTCATTAAGGAATGATTATAGTCCCCATTTTAATAAGTAAAGATATGAAACACCATACATACGTACTCATATGGTCTGCTAATAAGAACATCTATCTGAGGAGCTGGGGATTTAGCTCAGCGGCAAAAACGCCTGCCTGGCACACGCAAGGTCGTGAGTTCGGTTCCCAGTACCAGAGAAAAACCAAAAAAAAAAAAACATCTATCTGCTTATGATCATCATATATCAACGCTGAGATAAATGGACATGTTAGTAAGCAAAGCCGTACTCTTAGGTAACTATCAGAACTACAGTGAGCATTTTTTGTTGTTGTTTTTAGAGAGGGGATCCTGGGTACCAGTAAACCTCCTGAGTTAACTGCACCACAGGGCCTAGCTCCCCAGTAAGCATCCACAAATGTTTGAAAAACCTTGGAATCTTGTAATAAGTTCTGTGGATCCCTAACAAGTATAAGGATCCAAGCTAGAAACATTGGGTACTGAAACCTACATATCTTAAAACATGAAAAAGTTTTTTTCTCTTATGCTTATGAACACTATATTTGCAAATATGAACCAAAAATTACATCCGAATTATTTATGTCAAAGCCTCCCAAAAATTTTGGGAAAAAAAAAAATGAGATGACGGTGGGCATTTCAAACATTTTAATGTACTACACTTCTTTCCACAGTAATCTGTGTTGCTAAATTTACCTGATTTAAGTGTCTGTACATCCTTCCCTCCAACTGCTTCATTCAGAACAGGATCTTTCATTTCAGTGGCAGGCTAAATGGGTTTTAAAGTAAAATAGTTAATAAATACTATATAGTTCATGAAATATATAGTTAATTCAAAATACAAAGTTATTACCTTCAAGTGAAGATGTCTCTCAGGTGATTCTAAAAAGTAAAAGGGAAACATAATCATTATATGTAAACACGAGAAAGCCAAACACACATTCATGCAGAGTTAGTATGAAAGTGAATCCTCATGCTTTGCTTTGGAAATGATTACTTTAGGTTTTGCGTTTTCTTCCCCACTGATTAGAACAATATGATAGAAAAATTAGAATACAGGTCTAATAAGACATGCAATTAAGATTTCCAAAGTGAGATTATGCTTCCAAAGACCATCACTAAAATAGGAAGTGAGCATATACCAATGTGCACATGCTGACTGATGGAGAAAAAGTGATCTCGGCAAGTCATGACCCTGAGAGGATGAATGTCAAAGCTGATGTCAGAAGGTAACAGCACGTAACTTTAACACATCAACCATTTATATACCATTACCCTACAAGTATTTGTGTTTTTCAATCTGTCCTGCACCTCACGAAGTACATAATTTGGTAACAGTTTAATGGAATATAAAATTAATTTCTTTTCAAAGGAAGATTTTTAACTGATTAGCTTAGACATATACTTGTAGAATAATAGTTAATAAAAATTCATTTTGTCCATACCCTTGTGGGCTACAGGTATGCCTACATTTCCTGTATCCTCTAGTTTAGTCATCTTAAAGTTTCTTGATCCACTCATGCAAGAAGGTATATAAACCACATCTAAGAAATAATGCACAGTAAGTTTTCAATACTGAAATATAGTTATTGAAAAGGAAAAGATAGGGTGAATTATCACAGAATTATTAGATACTAATAACCTTTTATATTTCAAAATCAGTGTAATATTTACTAAAAAGTAACAATACTGGTATTCAAAGAATGAACTCTACAATGTCTCATTTCCAAAAATGGTTTGGTACATTATGTTAGTCTTTAAAAAATTTTTGTGTGAAAAAGCTATTAAACTTAGTTAAACAGTTATCTTTATCAAAACTTAGCTATCAAAACTTAGTTATCTTTAAAAAAAAGTCAATGCTTTTATATACAAGTTAAATCTCACTTGAATAATTATCAATTCAGCATAAAGCTTTGATGCCTGACAGTTATGGAGAGGAGGTAAGTGGCTACAGTTTAATGCAGTTCTAGCACTCCTCCCTGCTTCTAATCATCTCTGGTGCGTACTCTTCTGTGTGTGTACACATAAACTGAACCCAATAGAAGTGAGTTCTCTCAAATTTTGCCATGAATTCCAAAATTACCTGTCAAGCTTCCTTCTCTCCTTTCCTCTTTCCCCTAAACAATCCCCTTCCTTTCAAAAGTGATCTTTAGTTTTATGGTCTTGAATCTTTCCATTTACTTCTTTTTATGGATTATTCCTACTAATTCTTTATTTGGCAGTACCATCTTAGAATTATAATTTCTATCTCTTCATCCTCTTTGCTCTTTCTCTGTGGCTGTAAGTATTTTCAGAAATATAACCAAAATTTATGCTTTCCCTTGACCCTTGTTATGTCTTGAACTATTTATTATCCAATGGCTCTTTGTCCAGATTTCTCTAAAGGAAAGTTGATACCCAGCCACTTCCAGTGGTCTGTGGACAAGCAGTATCAGCATCACCTGAGGACTTATTAGAAACACAGGATCCCAGACCTGCTGAATCAGAGATGTGCGTTAACATGGTCCCTACAGGGGCTCCATTGCAGTGGACAAGCTCTGGCCTATATACTGAGTCTCTTCCAAATCCTCTTACCTTATCTTACCTTTTTGGAATCTAGTGTCAAGTTCCTTCTTATCATGTCCCCCAAACTGAAAATGCCTAAAAAATTATAAACTTTCAAATGAACTTTTTAATGAGGCTGTGAATTTCCTGATCTCTCAATATCTAATCATTCCTTTCTTTTTTTTAAATTCTCTTATTCTGGATATACTACCTGGTAAAATAGTGACTTATTTTTTTTAAAGTGGCAACACCTTATATGAAATTCTGCAATCAGAATTGTGGAAAGGATTAAGTTCGTGAATCAAGGTACCACTGAAAATACAAGTGTAGCTCATCATGTATGTTTATATTTATCTGTAGTAAATAAAACATAGCTCTGCATAATCTAGTATTTCAGTCCTCAGTGCCTTCCCAGTGGTGGGAAGACAGGAAAAGTGGAAAAATTTTGCTCTACTTTTGTCAAGATTTGGTACTGAAAGCTCACTTTATATAATTCCTACACTTCTCCAACCTTGCTCTTTCTTTTTCTAAACAATTACTTTATTTTCCCACTCTCCATAGTTTCTTTTTTCTTGGTGTACTCCCTGTATTATTACTCCTTATTCTTCACTCCCTTGTCTCCTCTTGATTTTCTAACTTCCCTCAGACCTTAGAATAGCTTGAAATGGAACTAATAATTTAACTCCTTTAGTGACTCAAATTTAACCTGATGATGAAACTTGGTAATATATATAACTTATTACTATTTTACTTCTCTTTTTCCTTACTTTGCACTTAATATGTAATTTTCTTTGGCTACGAGAATATAGGAATGCTCCAGTTTTAAATAAACATGCTGTCAAATGACTTTTCTAAAAAAAAAATTATACATTTATATGTATTTCTTACCTTCTACTTGTCTATTTCCTACATGTTTTCCTTGTTCATCTGCAGCCCCAGATAAATGATCAACAGACTTCTGTGGAAGATTCTCAGAGATACTCTGTTAAAATTAGTACAGCAGTAATGAGTTGCATAAAGATTTTCTGATTTTTCTCTCTTAAGGCAATTAGATGTAATAATGGGAAGCATGTACTGAAAATCAAAATATTTCAAATGAGAACCCTATATCAAGCCCACTTTGTATTTCCACATGAGTGCTGACTTGGTAAAGCAAGCATGGAAAGCCAAGGAGGGATTCATAGACAAAATTCTATTTGATTTGCGTATTCCAACCTAGCTTCACAATACCTAACTCTACTTTGCATTCCCCAACAAAGATAACATTAAAAAAACACAGATTTAAATGAAATAGTTTCAAACTGTAAGATGTTTGTATGAGTGTATGTTTGTGATATGTAATAATTACATTTATTTTGGGGAACTGGTACATATGTTATCATTTCTTGATCACCTTTGTTCCCTTTACACAATACTGTCCCTTTCTCTTCTCTGATTAAACAAATTCTTATAAGTACATTTGCTATAATTCAGCATTAAATACTTCTAATCACATAAGTCATTTTAGTGTGAAAATACTTGGCAAGCTAAGAAACTTCAGAGTGTCATGTTGAATACAAACAACACCGTAGGAAGTACTTCATGTATGTAAACCAGGGCTTAGAAAAAAAACAGTATTTTGGGTAAAATTTTTACTGATAGGAAAAATGGCTGAAAATAAAAATGTACTAATAACTTTGTTACATTCAAGTAACAGCAGACAAATACAAGACACTGTATACAACTGTTTCCCAATTAAGAAAGAACTTCAACTAAGTATAAAAAGACTTAATAAAAAGAGCAGCAGCATAAACATTTCTATTTATGAAGTGCCTAAAATGTGCCAGGTACTTATTTGTACATTTTCTTTTCTATCTGTTATAAAACTATAAATGATTGTGATGAAAACTGTTGTACTTCCTGCTTCCTGGTCACTTTAGGGTGTTACAATGATGGACAGACATGGCTCATGGCTCTCTGTTCTCTGTCCAGAATGTCCTCCTAGACTTTCCTATGGCTGGCTCCTTCTCACCCTTAAATTAGCAGCAGTTCACTCTCATTCCCATGCTAACCTCAAACCCCCTCAAAATTCTCTAACCTAGCTAGGCGTGGCAGCACACACCTGCCAACTTTTCAAGTTACAAGCTGTAAAAGTTATGATCTAAACATTTTCTCTGAATCTCAACAGAACTTTTACTCATTGGCCATAGGCTCCCTTGGAACAATTCTTTAGTTTTTAGATCACCTTAATTTCGGAATCTAAGTTGATTATTTGTGATGTCTAACTCTTCATTTTTAACTACACTGGCTTCATTAAATGAATCCTACATATGTAGCAGTAATGTACTTAGCACTTCATTCATCCATTCATTCCTTCATCAGCAGTACAGGGGATTAAACCCAGGGCCTTTGTGTCCAGCTACAATCTCAGTGCGTTTTACTTTTTGAGACAGAGTCTCACTAAATTGCTAAACGGCTCAGGTGATTATTAACTATGGGTTAAAAAATGTGAGGAAATAATTTCTTATAGCCATATGAAGAACTGAGAAAGTAAAGTCAAATCATCCCTCTTTATATGTAAACCTCAAATAATGCTTATTTCAAAAATAATTATAAACAATAAACAATACCTCAGAGTCCCATGGCGATTCATCATCTTCTCCTAATCCCAGTGCAAACATCATATCTATAAAAGGTAGTCACAGACACATTGAGAACATTTACTGCTGTGAATTTCATATATACAAATCTATCTGCATTCATGAGTATTTCAGTAAGATAAAAGTAACAGCGAAAAGAATTTCAGAGGGTTGAAGTAGTTTCAGAAAGAAGTTGGTGAAAGGAAAATAGTAAAAGAAAAAATTTTTAAAAATTGGATATCATCTTTTGGGTCTACAGACTTTTAAAAACAATAGTATATACACAAGAAAAATTTTCACAGCTATTCACTCACTTACCGCTTTTATAATTTTTCTGCCCTCCATCAACATTAGTCACATTGTCATGTGTTTGCTCTTGTGAAGCATTTTCAATAACAAAAGCACCATTTTCTTCTTTTCTAATTACTGGCCCTGTTGCTTTTTCCTATTAAAAAAAGAGAGAGAGAAAGAAAAAGAGTAAGAAAAAGAACTAAAGATCAAATAACATACACTTGCCCACTTGCCCAACCATCCAGTCAGTCAGTAAAATGGAAACAATCACAGGCAAATCTATCTAATCATAGGAATTACTCTGGGAGAAGCTGAAAACTGAAAACACACTCTGCTCTATATGCGAGCAGATGCAGAGAGACATGAAAACAAATAAAAACAGGGAAATGCATTTCACTGGTTCGACAAGGTTATAGAGGTCAAAAGCAACAATAGTCAGTTCTTCCTGGGAAGCTCAGGAAAAGCTATAAACCTAGGGTCCTATTTTGAAAGAGAGAAAGTGCACAGGAAGGGTGTCAAGGGCATTCCAGACAGGGCAGCATGGGATGAGGCATGAAACAACACAGCAAAAGACAGCTGCCCAAGTCATGTGACAAACTGGAATATAGTTCCTGGGATGGCATGACAGATAAAACAGGAGCATCGCACGCCAACTATACAAGACTCTTCTCAGGCTAGAATGTGAACTTTGCCCTTTGTGTAATGGGGATCCGAATATTCTTGCCAGCAGTGTAAGATAGATGAGCATAACGGGGGAGGGAGGAGCAAAAAAGAGTATTATTTCTAAACAATAGGTGAGAAAATGAATCCAGATTTGAAAAATGGTGAACAGAAAATACAGAATATGAAAGGTTGGATGGGTGATCAGAAGGATGGCTAGGGACCAGGATTTTCCCAGCTTCAGAGATTCAGTGCCATGTAATATAATCAGGGTAAGGTCAAAGTCAAAGTCTTCAGGAGGAACATCAAATTTGAGGGGCCCAGGACTGAGTAAACACATTCGGAGTAGGAGTAGGAATAGATGACCTTACTCAGGACAGCATATGAGCTCAAAAAGATAAGTATTTATAACATACAGCAAACTGATGAAGTAATGCTAACCTGTGCAGAACTCTGAAATTCATCAAATAAAAACAAGAGGGGAAATCCAAGGGATTCATTTTTCTCAATTATATACATCAACATGTTTCAAGGTTATAAACATATACTGTTATTAAAATATGCAAATATTTATTTCTGGGATATTATGCTAATATAAAATTTAAAATTTAATTATTAAATTTGACAATTTAAGATTTTGCATTAAATTTCTGTTTAAAAGGAAATCTTGTAAGTTTTAAATGTAAGCCAGGCATGGTGATGTGCACCTGTGATTCCAGCCACTTGGGAGACTGAGGTGGGATAATCATTTAAGCCCAGGAGTTTGAAGCCCATCTGGGGAACATAACAAGATCCCATCTCAAAAAAGAAAAAAAGTTTTAAATTGCAGAACAGAAATGGTGATGTGTTTACAGAATTAGGAATTTTTAAATAACAGTATAACATTAGAAAAAAATATAAAACCCTATCTTAAAATTCCTATTCCCCCTATAAATGGTATACATCAATAGTTCTAATTTTCTATTTATACCATAACAGGATAGTAGTTAGAAACAGAAGAAAGGTTATAGGGCGTGGTGGCACATGCCTGTAATCCCAGCCTTGACTGGCTGAGACAGGAGAATTAATGTGAGTTTGAGGCCAGTCTGGGCACTCAAGGCCTGCCTGAACAACATAGCAGGACACTGTCTAAAAAAAAACAAAGACAAAAAATAGCTGGCCATGGTAGCGCACTCCTGCAATGCTAGCACTTGGGAAGTTGAGGTAGGAGAATCACTGTAAGTCTGAAGCCAGCTTGGGCTACATAGTGAGTTCAAGGTTAGTCTGAAGTACATAGTGAGACCCTGTCTCAAAAAGGTTAAAATTAATTAATTAATTAATTAATAGAAGGATCTAGTATACAAAATAAAGCCATCATGTCAAAGTTGAAGATATATGTCTTCAAATACTTTCAAATACGGTTTGAATACTTGTTAATGAAGACCCAATATTCATATGAAGAAGGGGCTAAAGTTATCGACAGCATTCCTGAGTTATAAGATGAGAGAATTTAAGTGGAAGGCTATATAACTATAAATACTCAGGCTGGCGTGTAGCAAAGCAGTACAGTATTTGCCTAGCATGTGCTGGGTTTGAGCCCAAGCACCAAAGTGGGAAAAACAAAAACCCAAAACCTATGAGTACTGAAATTTAATAATGCTTCCTTAGAATAATATGAAATATCCCCATTGCTGGAAATATTTTAAAAACTTTAAAAAATCACCTTCCAGAGATAATTTTGTATACTCTTAGCAATCTTTCCTTCCTTATGAGTCTATGAAAACAGGTAGATTATTTTAGGGAAAAAAAAAATCACAAATTGTGATTTCATTTATTTGATGTATATGCATGTTCATTACATGACACTATTAGGAAAAGACAAATGAGAATTGGTTCAGAAAGAACTTTCTTCTATGTTTTTTAAGAATAGTGCAGCTTAAAATGTATTTTCTCATGTAATGGATACAGATTAAAAATCTTATTTAGGGCTGGGTGTAGCTCAATGGCAGAGTGCTTTCCTACCACGTATGAGGTCTTGGGTTCCCCACAGCTGAGGAGTGGGAGAAGACTATTTCAATTATATAACCGGGGATTTTAATTCATGAAACAATGAAATACAATGCTTATTTACTCTTTATTCTCAAGAAGATCTAAAGCATTTGCTAGGATTATACACCAAAACTTAGCTAAAAAAGAATACGTCAAACACTAAGTTTAACTAGAAACAATGAGAATGAAAGAGTCAAATATCAACAATTCATAATAAACCCCATAAGATCTAAAACAGATTTCATTATTCATTATCTATGAATATAGGATATACTAGATTAAATAGAAGATATCACTTTATTGAACTTAGCAAATATGAAGATTACATTTTCAGTTCTTCATTAAAATCTATTATAGGTCATTTAAAAGCATATAATTTCTAACATAGAGTTTTTACTCTTATTTAAGTCTTGTTTTTACATTTCATTTTGACTCTCTTACTTGATCATCTTATGAAGTCTTAACTCACTTTGCCTTGTATATGAGTCTTCTCATTCAACCTCAGCTTCACACTCCTCTAGCTATTTTTGATTGTTTTCTAGTTCTTTCCTTCCATAACCGCATACCTAAGAACTTTTTACTCCCATCAACTTTTATAGATCTCAATTTTGTACATAAATCTCTCTCGTTATACTTGTTTTCTATTATGATCTTGTGGTCATACATTTCTTTCTAGGATCTTTGTCATATGTGACTAAAAGCATGGGCAAAGTATTTTAAAAAGATCTTACTTTTGCTTCAGATGATGGTGAAGAAGAGGAAGACTGAGAAAAGTCCTGGACATTGACTGATGTTTTAGAAAAGGTTTCAACCATGTCTTTGTTTTTATTATCAGAAGGACTATTGTCAATCAATGTTCTATTTCCTGTTTCCCCAATGCCATATTTTGCTTCTATGACAATAAAAATGAAGTAAATTACACATAAAAATATCCACAACTTTAAGTCAGTAAATAGCACAGGAGCAAGCAGTTTTTATCAAACAGCTTACGATTTTTTCTGGATTGCTGAGCAGCAGCCCATAGTTCAGTTAGGTTTACTTTGGGGACATTCTAGGAAAAAAAAAATAATAGCTTTAAGAATTACAAGTATCCAATTTGATAAAATAATATTCACCATTACTAAGTGATCTAACAGTAAGAGCACAGGCTCCCCTTGTTGCTATTGCTGTTTTCTGCCACAATGAATGATTGCCCCTCTGCCATGTGGCACCCTGCCTTGGAGTCAGTTAAGTACGGACTGAAACCTCCACAAACCATGAGCTAAATAAATCTTTCTTCCTTTAAAAAAAAAGAAAAGAACACAGGTTTTAGAATCATTCAGATATAGATGAGAGATGACAGAGATATCTTAAAATGTTATTCCCTATACCTCTAATTAATTACATAAAGACTAGGATATTTACTAGACTATTTTCTTAACTAAAACAAAAACAAGTATTTATTCCTTTGTAGTTTAGAGTACTTTGAAAAAACTAACATTTCACAAAATAAAAATTCATTTCTTGCTATAGTTTGAATTTATTTGCATGATTTATATTTGTATGAATTATTTCATAGGAGAAAAATTTCACAGTGAAGTTTTTAGTAGTAACTTATTTAGATGGGTTAGAATTATAAATAGCGTAAGTCACTTCTATTCTGTATGTCAAACAGCTAATGACAAATGATTATATCAATTTACCTCCTTCCAGGAAAGACAGGAAAAAAGACAATAATAAATCCTGTGGGACAATGATTGAAGAATCAAAGCCATACAATCACTAAACAGAAAGATGTAACTAAATATGCCATGAATATGAAGATAGACTCAGAGAATGGACACTGAAGAAGTGTTTTCTACAAAGAAAAAACTTAAGGTTAGAGGTAAATCATTTTAAAGAGGTAAAGGAAGAGAAAGACACACACACACTCAGGGAGGGGGTAAGTAGAAAGAGAGGAGAGAGATGACTAACTGAATATGAACTTAAAACATGGAAGAAAATGAAAAATGTTAAGAATAAGGTATGTGAAGAAATAAGGGCTTTTGATCAGTCTTTTAAAAAAATTATTAATTTGTGTTTTTTATAAATGTTTCATTTTTTATAAATACTAAAATAGATTAATTTTATTACTATAACATAGTTCAATAAAACATGCTATTTACCACTACCTGAAAACTGCAGCATTAATACTAGAGAGACAAGGAAAAAACAAAATGTTCCACCAATTTTCCATTTAGAGAAAGAATTGTGAATCAGAACTCTAAAGAGAAATTACATCTTGAGATGTATTTAATAGAATATGAACTGGGCTAAAAAAAAGTTTAAGAAATTTTAATATAAAATTCTAACCTAAGTTCAGAGTTTCTGTAACTTTCTTTCCTATTTATATTCTTCTAATTTGTTCCCTTCTTTTCTGTGACATATTTCTTCAAGATAACTCACCTAAATTATATATCCTAAGTATTAAAAGGGAATATAATTTAAGCCATATTTTTAGAAATTCAATAGACTTAACTATTGCATAAATCATGCATATACTACTTGTAAAATTCTATTATGTAAAAATTCATTTATTGGCATTCAAAAATATTAAAATGATTCTTAATACAAAACACCTTATTGCAGGCCTTCAGGATACACACACACATATTTCCTAATCTCCAGTAGCTCAGAGTAATGCAAGAGTTTTAAAATGAATGTTGTGAAGTACAAAAACTTCTGAAACTTGAAATGTTAGAATGAGATACAGGGACTCTGGATATTTTTAAAGGTATAATGCATACAATTTCTTAGAGCTTTACCATCTGATTATTTGGAGCATCTAGTTGTCAAACTGGTTATTATTTTGGACAAAACAAGTATTCTTCAATCAGATGAAAAATTTTAAAAACAGTACCCTTTTAATGGAGGAAGCATTTAGAAAACCCAGTGCAATCAGGGGTAGTGGCACACTAATCCCAGTACTCTGGAGGTGAGGATAAAGGATCCCCAAAGTTCTAGCTCTGACTGAAAAAGAAATTAAATACATTTTTTAAAATGAGGGCCAGGGAGATAGCTTATTGAAAATGCCCTGTGATCAATCCCAGAAATGAAACAAAACAACAAAAATACCGTAATGCTTTAGTAATGCAAATTTTATGAAGATTTTAAATTTCTGAATTTCCATAATTTGCAGTATTATTTTAGTCTAAAAACAGAACCAAGAATAGAAAGAGAAAAAGCTCTTATAAAAACTGTTTGATACTAAAATAAAAAGTATTTAAAGAAAAAATGTATTTTATGCATTGTAAATTTTTGAAATTAAGGCACCAAAATTCCATGATTATTACAGAGACTAACAGGATCTATTAAAGATATATTTAGGCATAAGTATTATAAAAGTCATGGTAGTATGACTTAAAAGTCACAGTAAGGTATACTTATCCAAATAATCCTTGACCAAATTTAGTATTTCCCCTATTGTGGGAAAACTTCACCTAATACAATTTTCCTGTCACTATGTATTTTCTAGCCCAATACTTTTTTTTGTTTTTGTTTTTTTCTTCCAGTATCAGGAATCGAACTCATGACCTTGCACTTGCCAGGCAGGCGCTGTGCCGCTGAGCTAAATCCCCAGCCCCTAGTCCAATATTTTTATCAGTTCCCAATACCTCAAAGTATTCATCAGTTATTTACCAAAGGAAAAAGAGAAAAAAAATTTTTTTCAACCAGTCATAGTTCTATAAAATGGTTTTCCCTAACCAACTTTCATATAAAACCATGGTAGGTACACCACTGCTAAATTTTAAGACTAAGTACTACACAAAGCAAAACTAAGGGGAAGAAAACTAACTTCACAAAAGAGCACTTACCTCATTATCAAAAAGATAGTCATCATCATCTGATGTAGGCCAGGAATCATCAGGACCAGGTTTGCTGGAAAACCTGTACAGCAAAAACATACAATAAAAGTGGATGAGTTCTGTCCTTAAAAAAAAACTGGGGAAAGATTGGCTATCTATGTATCTAACGATGTTTCTTGGTTGATACAGTTAAAATTTGACTTCCATTTTTAAAATTTTTCAGTTACTTTTTTCTGTCTCCACTTCTTCCAATCTATGAAATAATCAGTAAAGATTCACTTTCACTCCTGTATCAGAGACTGACAGCCAACAGACCAGCAGAGCCTAAGAATAATTTGTCTTTACAAATTGCCTGCCCTGAAGGCTGAACTGAAAATCCAATCAATGGCTGATGTAACTTTTGTTACCTGGACTGAAACCTGATAACCTCAAGACAGAAAGATACACTGTCCCCTTTCCATACTCTGTTTCAATGGTGATGGTTTAGATTTAGAATGTCCCCTATAATTCTCCTGTGCATGGAAGGTGCTTGGATCATGTGGGTGCTACACTCATCGGTGCACTCATCCATGGGCAAGTCCAGTAGCTGAAAGTGCTCTTAAGAGGTGGGGTCTGGATGGAGACAGGTCATTGGGCCAGCACCTGGCAGGGTGTATTCTTGTCCCTGGTTCTTCAGCCCTCTCACTACTTCCTGGCTGCGGGGTAAGCAGCGTTCCTCCACATCTCCCTGCCATGCTGTTTCTGCCTTGCAGCCTGCTGAGTCACAAACCTTTCTTCCTTCAAGTTGTAGATATTGATTGTTTTGTCCCATTGATGGGAAAGTTACTGAAAGTGACTAAGACACTGGGTAATTCAGAAATAGCAGTCTTTGTTTTTTAGTATGGAAACCACTTACTAAGACAACTCTATTACTTCCCCTTACTCTAAAACAGTACAGAGAGACCTCTGAAACTTTAAACATGTCTGAAGGCTAAATGTACAAAAATCAAAGAAAAAAATATATCTTGTTCAATCAATTGCTCAATCTCTTCCCAGGGAATTAAACTATTAAAATTATAAAATCCAATTATCTTTCCTGTATGGCTCTGTCTTTTTCAGGTATACCTAAAGTAGCAAAATTTTCATAGACACTGATAGTCAAGCAGGAGCTGGCTAGAAAATCACTCCTAGTAGCTGTATCTCTGTTACCCTAAATTTAATCCAATATCCTTTCTTCAGTGCTCCTACTCCTTTGTGGCTCTTTGCAGGGCTCCATGGCAGTCTCCACTTAAAATCTTTAGCCTATGGAAGCATAGATTCCTGCAACAAGGATGTGCTCAAATAACTGAGAGTAGCTGCTCCTGAAAAGAAAGCTATTTGAATCATAATCATCTGCCGTCAGCAGAAGCATGTTACCAACCATCAACTAAACACAACTACCTCCAGCCAATGCAACCCTAGTCCTACCCTACACATACCGGAAGGACATCAACAAGTTGAAAAAATATGGATATGAGGGACAACTGTCCTGGGTCACAGACCCATGGAGTTCAGCTACTTCCAGTCCCATGGAAGAGTTAGGGGCGCTAAGCCACCCTCTGTAAATTGAGAAGGAAGGAGGTGATGGTACATTCCTAACTGCTATAGAGACTAACTGGTGGCTCAAATTACCCTAGCACCTTTCAAAAGAAGTCTTTAAGTTTGTCAGTTCTTTCAATTAAACAAAAGCAACAATATTTTCAGGACTCCTTTAAACCCCCAATTTTAATATGCATTTCTAGATAACTCCCAGTATCTTGTGTCTTTAATTTCTATATTACCTTTATCAAACTTGTGATAAAGCTCAATATTCTGACGTTTAAAACCCTACTCTTGCCAAACCTAATGTTGTTCTTCAAACCTGCCCTCCCCATTAATTCCATTCTTATGCTCTACCACTGAGCACACTAGACTCACTCCTCTATTCTCTTTGTTTTTGGTCTTTCTGAGACAGGACCTCACTATGTAGTTCATGCTGGCTTTGAGCTCACTTTGTAGCCCAGGCTGGTCTCAAACTCTCAGCGATCCTCCTGCCTCAGCCTCCTGAGTGCTGGGATTACGGGAATGTACCATCAGTCACAGAACGAGAAATAAGGAAGAGTACTAGACTTAGGAATTATGGAACCTGAGTTCAAATCTCATTTTTGCCATGAACTACATTCAGGTAAGTTACTTTAATAACATGGAATTTCAGATTGTCTATGAGAACAACTATTTGGCTAGGATGTTAATTAAACACGTTGAGCACTAGAAGGTATTTTGATTGGTCTCTTAGATGTCTTAAAATCGGAAATTCTATATATTTTTGTTCTATCTAAAGAACAGTAAGAGGGGCTGGGGATATAGCTCAGTGGCATAAGTGCCTGCTTGGCAAGCGCAAGGTTGTGAGTTCAATCCCCACTCCTGCAAAAATAAAATAAAATAAAATAAAATAAAGAACAATAAGAAATACTAAGGTAACAGAAATGAAAAAAAAATCAAGAAAAGCAGAATAAAAAGAAATAAAAATGAAGAAAATATTTCACTTATGGGGGAAAAAAGATAAGAAAAAAGGGGAAAAAAATTCATAGAACTAGGCAGTAGTAGCCTGAAAGGAAAACCAAAGTGGGAAATCAGTAAGTAGAGAAATGCATTAAAAATATCATCCCAATAGATATTTAATGTAATTAATACAATATGATTTACATGAAGACAGTCTTCACTTCCAGATCTGATATAAAACTTCTGATGGTAAAAACAAGATATTGTTTATCAGTGTAATCATCATGATTAGGACAAGCTCTTAGGCTCTCACCAGGCTTCTCAGGAAAACTAAACAGACTTGACACACACCTACCTGTGACTTTTCTGAACTGATCTGATATGACCTGTATTTTGATCTCAGCATTGCAGAGGTCCCTACCCACCTATGCAGAGGGCAATAGAATGCATCTGGGGGCCAGGCAGGTGAACAGTCAAAACTCAGATCAGTTACTTATTAATTATGGGATCGTGGGCCAATTAAATAACCTCCCTTAGTAACAACTGCCTAATTAGTAAACAACAGACTATAACAGCACAGGTACTTTGTCTAGCCTGGAGCACAATACTAAAAAAAAAATAGTTTCTTTTCTCTGCATTCACTAATTAGTAACTGTCTTGGTTACTTTTCTTTCGTTGCTGAGATAAAAGACCCAATGCCCAAAATTAAGGAAGGAAAGGTTTATTTAGCTTACAGTTTGTGGAGGTTTCAGTCCATACTTGGCTGGCTTGGAGGCAGAAGATAGCAAAGCAACAAGAGCAAAGGGGGGAATGGCAGCCGAACAGCGAACAGCCAGAACAAAGGGGAGGAATCCCGGCAAGCAGCCTCTTTCCCTCCCTTACGTTGTATACAGGCTACCCCACCTAAGGGGCATGTAGCTCTCACATAATCTGCATGCCCTCCTATTCCACAGGCTCAGGATGTATACAAAGTAAACACCCTGGCTTCCTGCTGAGTCACTCAGCCAAACCTCTAGACTCCACAAGTTGACATAATGTATCAACCATAACACTCCACCCCTTGTCAAGGTGGCAACCAGATACATTTCTTTAAACCAGTTTCCAGATATAAAGACATGTTATTACATTAGAACCATAACATTTTGCCCCCCAAAGACTCATGCACATCCCTTTATGCAAAGGGCATTTAGTCCATCTGCAATAGTTGCCAAAGTCCTAACAGTTTCAGCACTGCTGAAAAGTCCAAGTCCCAAGTCTCCTCCGAAATGTAAGGCAAACTCTTAGCTGTGAGCCCTTGTACAAATGAAAAGTTAAACACTCCCAGACAGAACAGCCAAAGGTGTTCTAGTGCTTCTCTTTCAGGCGACATCTCTGAACCTTTCCGAACACTTCCCACAAGCCATTTCCAAAGGCTCTTGAACCACATAGTCAAGTATAGTCACAGCAACAACCCCACTCCTCTGGTACCAAATTCTGTCTTGGTTACTTTTCTTTCGTTGCTGAGATAAAAGACCCAATGCCCAAAATTAAGGAAGGAAAGGTTTATTTAGCTTACAGTTTGTGGAGGTTTCAATTCATACTTGGCTGGCTCCGAGGCAGAAGATAGCAAAGCAACAACAGCAAAGAGGGGAATGGCAGCCGAACAGCAAACAGCCAGAGCAAAAGGGAGGAATCCCGGCAAGCAGCTGATTCCCTCCCTTACTTTGTAAACAGGCTACCCCCACCTAGGGGGCATGATTAGCTCTGGCATAATCTCCATGCCCTGCTCCTTCCACAGGCTCAGGATGTATACAAAGTAAGCACCCTGGCTTCCCGCTGAGTCACTTAGCCAAACCTCTAGACTCCCCAAGTTGACACAATGTATCAACCATAAAAGTAACTTATGATATTTAAAAATCTATAAGTTCCTACCTGGTTAAAGAGTCATCATTAGAATTCTCATCCACTATTAAAAGAAAGAGGTAAAACATATTTTGAATCAACCCAAAATATAAAATATTAAAAGTATAATACTTCGATGGTTTGTTAGAAAGTATTATTTTGGACTGTACCTGTAGACTATTCTAGAATGAATATACTATTGATAGGCAATGCATTAAGAACTCTTACTTTCCATTTTTTATTTATAAAATACAATGAAGAATGGAACTTATCAAAATTTGATATCTAAAAGCAAGCAAATTGCTATGTACAATGGCATCCTAACTGAATAGCATCATATTGACAGAAATGGTACCATTGGCAGTATCAGTGGCATAAAGTGACAGTGGCAAACAAATAGCAAGATTTTTCTGGACTAACAGCACTAGGAACAATCATAAAAGAATAGGCTTATTTTGTTATGACACAAGACAGCTGCTGCAGGTTTTCAGTTGAAACGGTTGAGTTTTAGGATGAAGTATTCTGTTACAAGGAAGCTGTATTGGGCACTCTAATTTGCAGCATGACAAAATATAGGAAACAGACTGAAACAAGGATCACTGCAATGACTGCCACCTCCCAGTGGAGAAGAGTTCATGAGAAATCAGTGTACTTACTCTTGCTAATCCTCTTTTAGGGAAGATGGTAATGAGCTCTCTTAGTTCTTGCTATTTTCTCTGTCCTACGTGTGATGCAAGCAAGGATCAAGTTTATATGCCATCTTACTTCTCAGGGAAAGAACCACTGCAAAGACTAATCCCTTAAGAGCTTGTCTAGTCTGACTGAATCGTTTAAAAGCCAGCACTGGGGAGGTTGCAACCAGCTGCCAGGGAGTACTATCTTATATGAAAAAATACATAAAAATAAAACCACTAACTCATTGAAGCTTTCAGAATGTGCCAAGTAAAAGAAGAAAACATTTACTTCATGCAAATTGTGAAAATAAAAACAAAAACCTAACAGCCTCAGATTTCCCATGACAGAGAATCTGCTCATGGAAAGTCAGGGCTGGGGCTGGGCTCAGTGATAAGAACATTTGCATAGCATGCACAAAACCACTGAATCCCTAGCACCGAGGGAGTGCGGACCAATAAAAATAATGAGAAAATCTGTCACGTTATAATAATATAACATGACTTATACTTAGCCCTCAAAGGAAGGGGATCACTTTGATTCATCTATAGTTTTCTTCACTCCCTCATCTTACTTCCCAGTGCCAGGTAGGTGTGAAAGACTCTGATGCATTTTGAGAAGCACAGCACTTGAAGTGTCTCCGTCCATTCTCAAAGGGTCTGTCTGGACCCAACAGAGCAGGATGGTCCAGTTAGTGCTGTGAAGTTCAGCATGATGTTGTTCTTCTCAACCCTCCTCATTATGGGGAATCTCCACAGAAAGCACGCCTTCTCAACATGTACAGCATATGTCATTAGCTCATATTCATAAACAAAAAACAAGGAAAGAAAAACAAAGGCTGGAGCTGGAGCTCAGTGGTAAAGCATTTGCCTGGAATGGCCAAAGCCTTGGGTTCAATCCCTAGCAACGTCCCCACCAAGGGAAAGAAAAAGCAGCTCAAATAACAGTATAATGATTACATTCAGTTACCTTGAACATTTATTATTTTAAATATTCAAAAAATATCTGCTGTATTACTCCAACTATGCAGTTGTTCAAATCAAACTCTCCAGTCAGTGATTGCAGTGTTGGGCGGGGCAGGGCACGGTGCAGGGAGGGAATGAACAGATGGAACACAGGAGCTATGTAAGGCTATGAAACTATTCCATATATGACACGACAATAGTAAATACATGTCGTCATACATTTGCCTAGACCCATAAGATGGAGTACACTAACAATGAACCCTAATGGTAACTGCAGGATAGGGTACAGCTCAGTGGTAGAGCACTTGCCTGGCATGCATGAGGCCCCGGGTTCAGTTCCGAGCACTGCAAAAAAAAAGAAAGAAAAAGCTATTGATTAAAAAAAGAAAAAGCTATGATTAATATTAACTGCAGTCTTTGGATGATAATGATGAGCCAGTGTGAGTCATCATCTATAACAAGTGTACTACTCTAGAGGATGGCACTAGCAATGGAGGGAGGCAACCCATGTGTGGGAGGTACAGGATAAACAGGAAATCTCTGTTTCTTTCAATTTTGCTGTGAACTTCAACTTGCTCTCAAAAATAAAGTTATCAGTGGATAGGGTGAAGCACAGTGGTACAGCACTTGCCTGGCACGTATGAAGTCCTAGGTTCAGTTCCAAGCACTGAAAAAAAAAAGAAGAAAAAGTTATTAATTAAAAAAATAGTTACTGAACCTACTATTACCATGTTATAGCAATTTGTCATCTACAACTGGCGATAATTAAAAGATCAAAGCAACAGAGTATAGGTATTATCTCCTAAGCTGAAGAATACGAAATTATATAGAACAATTTAAATTACATACTTAAGCAGGAAAATAATTGATAAAAGTGACTTAACATTTTATTTTTACTGACATAAATCACTTTTTAGTGATATAACTATGTAATAAAATTTATTAAGTGTAACCTATTTAGTTAAAAATTTAAAACTTTAGTATAATGTAAGTACAGAGAAAGCAGCATACTAATTTAGAAGCTTTTCATGTACAGGATTTAAGAAGTCAAAATTAAATAAATAGAATGTTTTAGATTATAAATTTCTTATAATTCATTTCTTTAATAATTCTGAATTCTAGACTATTAAGAAAGAAATTAAGAAAAAATATAAATGCAATTTACACAATGATTTTTCTAACTGCTCTTCTAGGTTCAAAACTTTCTCTTACCTTTTTCTTTTTCTTTTTTTTTTTTTGAGATTGGGTCTCACTATGTAGCTCAGGCTGGCCTTGAACTTGAGGTGATCCTCCTGCCTCAGCCTCCCGAGTGCTGAGATTACAGGAATGTGCCACCACTCTTACTTTTTTATCAGTATAGGACCACCAAGTGTAATTCACTATGAGAAGTCTTACCTGGATGGCTATTTTGAGAATTTTTAGGTCTCTTTTCTTCATATTCAAAAAGTTGCCTATATAAAACAATTATTGGTTTAATATTGATATAAAAATGTATTAGATTACTAAGAGTATATCAGCCAATATTACAGCTAATATTAGAACTTCATTTCACACACTTCAAATCTGTAAGATCTACCAACCTTTAGTAAGCCTGTAATTAAAAAAGAAAAAAGAGTAAGTAAGGTGAAGCAGTCAAGAACCAAGAAAGTCAGGACAGCTTTGTGTATTAGCTAGGTTAGCTCAATTTAAGGAAAACTGTCTTTAACTCAGAAGTCGCAGCTATAAAACCAACAGCTGTTTGTTCTTGGACAAGTCATTTCTCTGAGGCTCAAAATCTTCTTATAAATAAGGATTTTACTGCTTTAGTTCACTAGGCTCCTAGGAAGAGTTGATGAGATAACAGAAACCTGCTCTCAGAAACAATGAAGCAATGGAGTGATTTGTTCTTTAATGCTGAACTATTTTTTGGAATCCCAAATAAAACCCAATGTGTATTTTTTCACAGATTCTAATATTCAAATGTTACAGTTACCAGAAAATATTAAGTCCTAATTTTGATTATCAGCTGTTCTATTTTCTGTGGCTTATAATTCATGGCAAGTAAACTTTTAAATAATTTGTAGCTAAGTTTATTTATAAATATCTTATGAAATTAAATAATATAATTGTCCCCTACTACTGAACTAATCATGCTAAAGACAGAAAACTAAGAGATGTTCAAGACTTGGCATAAAACTTCAAGAGGAGGAGATAACAATCACAAATATGTATGCACCAAATATAGGAACACCCAACTATATAAGACAAATATTAATAGACATGAAAAATCAAATAAGCAATAACACAACTATAATGGGGGACCTTATACCCCATTTTCACAAAGAGATCAACTAGACAAAAAATCAGCAAAGAAATATCAGAACTGACCCAAAGCTGTAAACAAATGGACTTAGATGTTTACAATGTTCCACCCAACAACACATTCTTCTCAGCTTCACATAGAACATTCTCTAGATCATATACTAGCCCACAGAACATGCTTAAGTAAATGCAAGGGAACTAAAATCATCCCATGCATATTATCTGACCATAGTGCAATGAAATTGGAAATTAATGGCAAAAGAAACCACAAAAACCCCATAAGCACATAAAAATTAAATAACACCTTTCTGAACAACCAATGAGTCATAGATGAAATTGAAGAAGAAATTAAACAATATTTACAATTAAACAAAAATGCAGATACAACATACTGAAACCTGTAAGATACAATGAAAGTAGTCCTCAGAGGGTAATTTTGTATTGGTGAATCCTCACATCAGAAAAGCAGAACGAGCACAAATAAACAACTTAGTGTTGCACCTCAAGCTTCTAGAAAAAGAAGAGCAAGTCAAGCCCATAGCCCATACAAGGGAAGAAATTACAAATATCAGAGCAGAAATTAATGTAATTGAGATTAAGAAAACAATACAGAGGATTAATGAATTAAAAAGTTGATTCTTTGAAAGAAGATCTGGTATGGACTACTATTTCTCCTCTACCCAAGGAAACTCTGTGCATGATTCTAACAAAGATCTTCTGGTTCAATTTCCATGTCTATCTCCAACTGACTTGAAAGACAAAGTCCTCTTTTATAAGTGGAGACTGATTAAGTCACAGTGGGGCTTAGTTCTCTTAAGTCCAACTAGTCTACTGTGAATTTACAGAATTTTATTTAATGGCTTCTTTATGAGATAGGATTTGAAAATAATCTAGAAACGATGCTGAGACACAAGTATTTTCATTACTAAACAGTATCAGGGGTCAATCAGAAGTCTGCACCAATCAGAAGCTGGGGGTGATTTGGGACCTTTTACAACCTAAGAAAAGGCACTACACAGTATAAAGGGACTAATGGGTAAAGATCTGGTAGCAAAGAAAAAAGAAACACGGATCTCTTTCTGAAACATTATTTGAACTCCAGTAATTTACAATGATCCCAACTCATATTTGCTGGCAGGAGGCTAACAAAGGTCTTGAAGGATAAGCCACCATGAAGGTCTAAGCTAATATGTAGGCTCCACATAGGATTCTGAGTAGGTGGGAAGAGTCATTTTGCTTACTACGCATGTGGCTAAGCTAGGAGGTCCACCTGCCAAAGTAAAGTGCGGCTAGTTCAGGAACAATAACTGAGCATAAAAATATACCTACTAAAAAAAAGGTTGCAACTTAAGTCTAAGTGTGTATTACTATGAAGGCTCAGGGATCTGGATCAGTAAGGACAACCTGGTAGTAAAGGTTAATCATTATTACATTGCAAGGCAGACTTAATAGCAACACAAACAACAAAAATCACACCTGACTTGTGAAAGAGGATTGACTTCCTTGGACCTAAGGAATCTCTTAGGTTCTTCAAAAATTCAAAGAGGAGGGTATAGGAGATAGCTCCACAGAAAAGTAACAAGATTTTCTGCTAAATTAGACATTTCAAGACCCAAATTGCTAATTAGAAAAATCAAAGATGTGACACTACTTGTACCCCATAGAGAATTACATGAGCAATTAAATGGGGTCCCTAAGGATAAAGATCCTCAAGTCCCAAGATAGGCTCTGGGGATAGAGCTCAATGATATAGTATATGCTTTGCATCTGTGAAGCTCTCAATTCAACACCTACTTCTGTACTTTATAAACTAATGTAAAACTGCTTTAGCTAATATAAGATCAAATGACCAGCAAAATCAGATTACATATAACAAACCTCAGGCTGAGTGCCCCACCCCCAGCCAAAGCCAATGTCCACCTGGCCCGGTGCTGAGCTGGAGAACGGCCCAGGAACTGAGCAGTCCACCCCTAGCTGACACAGATGCCTGCCTGGGCTCCACACTGGGTCAGGAGGACCCAGAACTGAGCACCCCAGCCCACAGCCCCTGGGTTCCCCACAGCACAGGGCAACAGAAGTGAAAACCAACAGACTGATCTGATTGAGGAAGAGACCAATACCCAGAGAAGAGTTTCAATCCAGGACTGAAGTGACAGCTTACTACAGAGACCAGGTGAGAGATAGTCTTAGGAGATAGGCTGGAGACAGTGACAGCTAAATAGGGATCTCCTAGGAGGTCCAGGTTTTGACCAGGAAGATCATGGGGGCTGTATTCTCTTGTGGGAGGCCAGGCTTGGTGGGAGTAATAGTCTGAGGGGCAGTTCTAAAGAAGAAAGCATTTAATGTAGTAGTATGTTTATGCTGTGGCACCTACTTCCAGCAGAACTTAGTGGTCTGAACTATTATAGGTCAATACAAGGGTAGTCTAGTTCATTTAAATAACAGTCCTCTTTGTTTTGGTTAAGGGCTGTTCATGAGTGGTGTCTATGACTTGTCAGTATCCAGTTGAAATTCGATGCCATAGTTGTTGCTGAATTTATTACAATAGTCAAGGTAACATAGTAGTAGCTGGGAATTAGTTTTTTCTCTATGCCAGTATCTGCATAGCCTTGGGGTCATAAAGTATACTGTGGCTACTCCCTCAAAACAGGACACTAGGCCAAAGAATTTGTAAACCCAATCCAAAAAAAAAAAAAAAAAAAGAAACAGAGACATGAGAAAATAAGGGAACAAAATGCCTCCAAAACCTCCCAACTCCCCCAAAACCAGTTTGGATGGCCCTCGGGGAGGAAATCATAAACCACACAACAGACCGGTCTGAAAGGTACCCATATACAGGTAAAACAGTTCAACAAGGCAGTTGGCACATTTAAAGAAGATATAACTAATCAGATAATGATCCTAATGAAACAAATGATCAGCAGTCTAGAGAAGTCACTAATAAACAGCTTTTAGAACTAAAGACAGGGTTGGGGATTTAGCTCAGTGGCACAGTGCCTGCCTGGCAAGCACAAGGTCGTGCGTTCGATTCCTGGTACTGGAAGAAAAACAAAAAACAAAAATAAAAATAGAACTAAAGACAGAGATACAAAATACGAATGTCTAGCATAGAAAGAAGGATCCATAAAAAATTCGAACAGAAATTCAGGAGATCAAAAACATGATTGAAAGTATGTGTAGAAGCAGCAACCAATGTGAACAGTGTAAGACCTAGAGGACAAGGATGAGGTCAATGATCACTTAATGAGAGATATCTTAATGACAGATCACTTAAGGAGAGATATCTAACAACAAAAGAACATGAAAAATGGATTCAACAGCTCATAGATAAAAACAGAGGACTAATATAAGAGTAATTGGAGTTAGTGGAAAATCAGAAGACAGCACACAGTGCATAAAAAATCTGTTTATGTAAGTAATAGCATAAATCATACAGATAGGTGAAACGTATAGAACCCTGAATAGGCACGATCAGAAAAAACTACTCCATGCCACATAGTTTAAAAAATAAGAAATACAACATAAGAACAAAAGCATGCTAGAGAAAAGCAATGAATCACCTATAAAGGAAAACCTACCAGCATTAGAAAAGATTTCTCAACACAAACTTTAAAGGCAATGAAAGCATGGAATGAAGTGTTTCAAGATCTTAAAGAAAACAACTTCTAACCTTGACTGTAGTAGCCTGCAAAATTACCTCTCAAAATTGATGAATAAGATACTTTCACAATAAAGAAAACCTAAAGAAATTTCTGACCACCCCTAACCAATATTCCAAAAAGTTTTCAAGGATATCTTAGGAGAAAATGAAAATGTCTAAGATCCAATAAAACAAATACATCAGGTAGGGTAACAATTAAATAGAAGGGAAAGAAAGCAAAATAGCAATAGGAAATTAATACAATGACAGGAATAAGTCATGTAAATGGACTCATCAACCAAAAGGCATTGATTAGTAGAATGAATCAAGAATCAAGAAACAAAACAGTATACAGTACACAAGAAACACATTTAGCCAGGCATAATCCATGCTTGTAATCCCAGTCTGAGATAGGAGGATCACTGTGAGTTTGAGGCCGGCCTGGGCTACATAAGCGAGTTCAAGGCCAGCCTGTAATACACAGACCCTGCCTCAAAAAAAGAGAGACATTTAACATGAAAAGAAATTTACAGACTAAAAGTCAAAGGATGAAAAACAATATTCTATGCAATGGGAACCCAAAACAAGTGGGAGGAGCTATCCTATTTTCAAGCCAAAGCTGGTCAAAGGAGGCACAAAAAAAAAAAAAAAAAGAAAAGAAAAAGAAAAGACATACTAGTTAATGGATCTATTCAATAGGAAGCAATAACAATCATAAACACACCAAACCACAATGACTCAACTTGATGAACAAACTCCAAAGGAAATACAAGGTTAGATAAACATCAATACAATTATAGTAGGGAATCTCAATATTCCATTATCACAAATAGATCAATTAAACAAACAAACAAAAATGAACAGGGCCGAGGATACAGCTCAGTGGCATAAATGCCTGCCTGGCAAGCTCAAGGTCCTGAGATCAATTCCCAGTACCCCCCCCCAAAAAAAAAAAAATTAACCAAGAAATATCAAAGTTGAACCAAACCGTGAACAAATGGACTTAATACATATACAGTACAGTAAGTCCCCTGACTTATGAATAAGTTCCATTCTGGGAGAACGTTTCTAAGTCAGATTTCTTCATAAGTCCAACAAAATGACTTCACTGGCACAGCAGACTTTACATGTTTTGTGATCTTGTCCTTGTCCTTTAGAACTGTGACAATGGTTGAATGATTCATGTTATAAAAATGAGTGATATCTACTATCTTTTTGCCTCAGTCCAATCTCTCAATTATTGTCACTTTTGTTTCCATAGTTACTTGCTATATGCTTCTTAGCAGTCCTCTCCACATCACCACTGCTTTTCCTCTTGCTTCTAGACATCCTGGGCCCTGAATGAACACGGCACTACTATATGCTATTGCACTGCACAGTAAGCACACAGAAGCACAACTGGGACAATGTCCAGCAGACTCCTGAGCTACTTTTGTGGTTTGTTTGCATTTACAAATATCTATAAAGTGAGGTCCATTTGTATCTCTGAAAGTTCACAATTTGAATGTTCATAAGTTGGCGATTTAGTACAGTGCTCCACCTAACAACAGAACACATGTTCTTTTTAGTATCACATGGTACTTTCTCCAAGATAGACCACATACTAGCTAATAGAGCACACCTAAGTAAATGCAAAAGAACAGAAATTTTGCCATGCACATTATTATATCACAGTGTAATGAAACTAGAAATCAATAGGAAAAGAAATCACAGAAATTATGCAAACATATGGAAATAAACACACTTTTGAATAATCAATGGGTCACAGAGGAAATTCAGAGGAAATTAAGGAAGAAATAGGACAGTTTCTAGAATTAAATGATAATGCAAGTACAGCATACCAAAATTTATGGGACACAATGGAAGCAGTCCTATGAGGGAAGTATACAGCAGTGAATGTCCTCATTGGACAAACAGAATGAACTCAATTAAACAATTTAATGATGTATCTCAAAGTCTTAGAAAAACAAGACCAATCTAAACCCAAAGTTAGTACAAGGAAAGAAATTATAAAGATCAGTGCAGAAGTCAATGAAATGGCAACAAAAATAAGCAATACAAATAATCACTGAATTGAAGAGCTTTGAAATAAACAAAATAGATAAACCCTTAGCCAATTTTACCAAAAAAGGAAAGAAAAAACACAACCCAATGCAATTAGAAATGAAAAAGGTGAAATCACAATAGACATTGCCAAAATCCAGGTAATTATTAGCAACTACTTCACAAAAACATATGCTAAACAATTGGAGAACTCAGAAAAAAATGGAGAGATTCCCAGATGTGAAAAAATAAATAAATAAATAAAAATCCTGAATCATCCAGCATAAGGCAAGGAAACTGAAGAATTAATAAAAAAATACCAACTAAAAAAATCCCAGGACTTGATGGGTTCACAGTGAAATTCTACAAGAACTTTAGGGAAGATCTAATACTAATACAAACAAAGTAAGAGCTAAAGAAACAATCCTGATATTTATATGGAATCAGAAGAGACCCAATATAGCAAAAGCAGTCCTGGGTAACAAAAGCAAAGCAGGTGCAATCATAATCCTGGAGTTAAAGTTATACTATAAAGTTATAGTGATTAAAACTACATGGTACTGGCACAAAAACAGGTATGTACATCAGTGGAACAGAAGAGAAGAAACAGAAACAACCCCAGGCACACATATCCCACCTTGTACTAAACTAAAATCAAAATGGGTGGAAGATCTAAATGTTAAAATAGAAGCAACCTGCTGGAAGATAAAATATGTAATACTTGAAGACACAGGCATAGGCAGGACTTTCCAAACAAAACCCCAATGGCTCAAGAAATAATGAGAGTCAACAAATGGGGTCAAATTAAAAAGCTTCTGCACTGCAAAGGAAACAACCAAAGCAGTGAAGAGACAACCTTCAGAATGGGAAAAAAAATTTGCTAGCTATTCCACAGGCAGAGGACTAATATCAAGAATACATAAAAAAGTCAAAAAAATTATATCTCCTATAATAAAACTCAGTCAAAAATGGGCAACTGAAATGAAAGATACTTCTTAGAATCACAAATGACCAATAAACACATGAAAAAATAATTATTGCCACCCATGAGAGAAACACAAATTGAAACTACACTGACATACCATTTTACCTTACAAAGAATAGTTATCATAAAAAAAATCTAAATATAAATAGTGACAAGAATGTGGGGAGAAAAGGAACTTTTCTACATTGATAGTAGGAATGTAAACTAGTACAACCACTAATGGAAATCAGTGTGGAGATTCCTCAAAAAACTGAAAGTAGACATTCCATTTGAAATTCCAGCTATGCCCCTTTCTAGATATCCTCTGAAAGAATTAAAATCCTACTAAAAGATGCATGGATATTCATGTTTATAGTAGCACAATTTATAACAGCTACATCTTTGAAACAGTGTATATGTCTGTCATCAGAAGAATGTATAAGGAAAATGGTATCTATACACAATGGAATACTACACTGCAATAAAGAAAGATAATCTTGAGGCATTCATAGATAAATGGATACAACTTGAGAATATAAAGTTAGGTGAAATAAGTCTGACACACAAGCTCAAGTATTGCATGGTTTCTGTTAATGAGATACACAATACAAACACATATACATATACATGCAAGACAGGAAGAAGGGAGAAGCTCAAACTATGTCCCCAAATTTCAAATATATTTTAATATATATACTAATTTGATTCATTTATATTACTAGCTTATCTTAGATCATTGAAAAGAAATTTTTGTGTTGTCTTTCTTTTTTGTAAAAATCTTTCAGGTTTATATCTTGTACTCTGAGGAAGTATTTTGAAGATAACAGCACATAGTATATTAACTTGTTATTCCCTTATTTTGATACAAAACTTTATTTTCTCATTTAAAAAAGCAAACATAAGTCAATATTACTGTATAACAGCATGAATCCTATATATACAGTGATTTTTGTGTTGCCCAATCCAAACTGTACAGTCAATATTACTGTATAACAGCATGAATCCTATATATACAGTGATTTTTGTGTTGCCCAAACTGTTGTCTATCTGACAGTTTGTGTTGATATTTTTCATTATGTCCCAATAACTTTAAGTTAGTCTTCTTCCCATTGATTTCTTTGACTGTATTATCTGACTTCATTAGTAGTATTCTAGAACACTACTAAAGTTTTGTTTAAAAAAAAAAAAAAAAAACAACTATACCTTCCAGGCTTATCCACTGCATTATTTGCTTTTTTCTTTTCTAACAGTTCTGCCACTTGCAGTCTGTTTTCCCTTAGAGCAAGCAGAAGTGGTGTGAGGCCATCCTGTGAACAAGCAGAAACAATTTATAACCCACACAATTGCCTATTTCTCAACTGAACTGAAAAACTTGTAGAAGACTCTATGACTCTAACCTAATATAGATAATATACAGCAGTCTCTTCCTGTACTTCCACATATGCTACCCCTGTCCTCTGCCCTCTGCAGCACACTCTCTCTGCCCAGAGTTGCTACATGAACTCAAGTGTCAAAACTCGCTGCAGACATTCAACTGTTCCAAGGATCTTTCCATCACAGCATTTATCATGGTACTTTGGGGTTAGGTACCATCTCCCACCTAAATCAAAAGCATCTTGAGGACAGGGGCCATATCTTTTAACTCAGTAGCCCCAAATCCTAATGCACAGTAGTAAAAGATTTAAGTATTTTTATTGAATTAATGAGCTAAATTATCTCTAGGCCAGAGATTCTCAGTCTGTATTCCAAAGAATCATTGTCCACAAGTTCTATATCTCAACAGGATTCAACAATCATGTTTGAGAAAGTAAGAAAGTTTACTGCTTCAGCAGCACATATACTAAAATTGGAACGATACAGAGAAGATTAGCATGGCCCCTGCGCAAGGATGACACGCAAATTCATATATCATGGA